GAGATGTGACTGGGGTCTGCAGTTGGGACTTCAGTAGCACTTTATTTTCTTAAAAAGAAATGTGACAGATGTTAGCTAGCATTTGTTAAATCAGAGTGATAGATTCATGGATGTTTGCTACATTAGTCTCTGTATTTGTATTTGTGTTTGGAAATGTCAATTAAGTGGTTTTTACATTGTGTTAAAGCAAATGTTTTTTAAATTGTGTTGGAGAGATCAGCTAGCCAGCTGTGAAATTAAGTAATACTTAAAGTAACATTCATGGTTTAGAGTCAAAATAAGTCATATATACAGTGTGCTGCCATTTATGCAGTTTGAAAACATGCAGACTAACACTACATATTGTTTAGGAATACATGCATAGAAAATAAAAATATGGCAACAGAATGAGAGTGAGAAATGCCAGATTCAGTGAAACGGCTTCCTAGAAGAAGAGGAAGGGGTGTGCCAGGGTTTCGCTTCCACAATGTCTTATTTCTTATGTAAATGTTGGGCATGCTTTATATTATGATCTCAATTTATTTTAAAATAGCTATGTAAAATGTTTCATTTTAAAGAGCTTTAGAAGCCCTGATTTATGTATTTTAGGAAATCAGAGAATAAGGGTTAGCGAATAGGGGGATGAGGATCAGAGAAAGTCTCATGGATGGAAGGTAGGGGGTGGTGTTTGAAGGGAATGTTTCAGGATGGGTATGATTTTGAGATGGGAGAAGGGAGAAGAGCTGGATTTAGTAATGAAGGCTTGTATGGAGTGTGGAAACCAGCCTGCTCTGGAGTTGAGTTTGGGCTTGACAGCAGTAGGGATGATGCAGGCTGCCAAGTGAATTATTAAATGCCAGGAAATCAAGCACCTTGACCACCAGGCTCTTTCAACTACCTGCATTTAGTCTCTGTAATCATCTTGATTTCTCTTCCTTTTCTAACTTCCTGCCTGTCCCTTTCGAGATTCAATAAGCCAATGAATTATATAAAGTACTTCAGGTACAGATACATGACAACTTAGTTCAGGAAGATGTTAACACATTCATTTTGGGCTCTGATACCTTTGCTGATGAAGTCTTTCATTTATCTTGGTCTTTCTGGCTGTGCCAGCACACTGGGTTGACATCTTTGACAAGTAGTTGATTGTAAGACTCCTTTTCTGGCTAGTAATTGACGACCTTTGTACCTTAAACCTGCACAATTAGAATTGTGTTTGTTTTGTTTTGTTTTGTTTTCTGCATGGATTACAGGCAAATAGTAATACTCTTTTTTAAGGAAAAAATTTAAAGATCTCTATTTTTTCTATCAGACCAAACCGGCCTATTGAGATCTTCCTGCAGAGTTTATGCCCTGATCTTTGTTATATTTTACTACTAAGAGATTTGTGGAGACTTCAGGTGTACTCATCTTAGAGTATGTGCAAATGTTAGAACACAAAGTAGTGGCCTTTTTGTGTGTTTCTGTTTTAATTTTCTTTTTTTCTAGGCCTTCTCTCTCTAAGCCAAACTTTCCCTTTAGTCTTTGATCCCTTTTATTTTTTCTCTCCTTTTCCTCTGCCTAGGTGACTCAGCCAGCACATTAAAGTAGTATTATTTGTATTTCTGCTGTAGTATATGTAATGGCTTGTTTACAGATTACTTAATAACCTTTTAGAAAGGTTTAGGGAGTAGAGTTTTTTTTTAAAGATTTATTTATTTAAACATTCAAGAACTGGGGTGTAGGACAGAAGGGGGCTTGAGACAGAGTGGGGAACAGAACAGGCAGATTGACTGAAATACACTGCTGAGGGGAGCAGCGGGCAAGACAGGAGAGGTCTGCTGAGCCATGTGGGTTGCTCCCTGGCCAGCCAGGATCAAACTCATGCTGGAGAGGCTGCGGATGCTCTTGTGCCACCAGGGAGGCCCTGGCTTATTTTTATTTAAAAGCAACTTTGGGATCTCATCTTTATGTCAAACAAGGTACTTGGTAAACTTATTTTTTAAAATGTCTGCTAAAAATTAAATTATGAAGAAGGGAGGGAGGGAAAAAACAAACAAAAAACTCAACAGAGTATGCGCCAAGTAGCATTCTAATGTTTTTGCATATCTACCTTACTAGCTGCTAGTATTACCACCTGCCAGGAATTTTGCTAAAGAGCTATTTACACGTTTAAACCTCCCAACCTTCTTTTTGTTTCTTTTTTTTTTTTTTAAGCAGTTTCAAATTTTATTTATTTTTATTTCTTTTATTATTTTTTTTCTATTTTTTACATCATTGTTCATTTTTAAACAATATTTGCTTCCCCCCACCCCCTCAGGTGTAGTCCCCATAGAGTTTCCTTCACCAAAGCGCCCGTGCACCATCACCTCAGTCCCCTGTGCTCCTCCCTCCCTCCCTCTCATCCCTCTTTCTCCTCCTCCCCTGCAGGATGTCTCTGATTTAAAATGGTCTGTTTTTGCTTTGTTGTGCTTTGTACTGTTATTATTTTTTTTTACACTGGTGTCTTATTTGGTTCCCCTATATTCCTGCCATAAGTGAAACCCTCTGATATTTTTCTTTTTCCTTCTGGCTTATTTCACTGAGCATAATTCCTTCTAGCGCCATCCACGTTGCTGCAAATGGCATGAGTTTATCTCCTCCAACCTTCTTAAGATTGCTTAATTTACTTCTTTAAAAGGTGATACATGTTCACAATACAAATTCAGAAAGGTACGAAAAGGTTTGCAATGTCTTTGCCACTTCAGTCACGGCTTCTCCTCCAAGCACTGCTCCTGGTGTCTTGTGTTTTCCAGGGATGCTCTATAAATACCTTCACTTAATAATATGAAAATATGTGAATGTTTTAAAGATTTTTTTACAAAAAATGGTGACATTGTATGTGCAAAATTCTGTGTTGTTCTTCAATGAATGTCTGATTTTGTTTCATGTCAGTGGATATAGAACTGCTTCATTCTTTTTATGAGATGTGTGGTGATTTAAACATTCCACTGTGGATGATAATCCTTTATCTTTTAATACATAAGCTCAGCCCATTGATGTTCAATGGAAAACAGATACATTTGGCCTTAGTTATATTTTTAATATATTTTTTAAAAACATCTTTCATTCTTGGGCTGTATTTGCTTTGGGAAGGAAATGTCCATGTGTATATTCTATACATGGAAAGTTTATCATTTTTTATTTTAGTGATTGCATTTTAAAGTATAATTATACCATATTTCTTCAAACATATCTGTTGACTCTCTGCCTCGACTAGTGATGAAATTATTGTTTCCCATCCCCATCCCTCCTTCTTTTAGTTGATTGTATTATTTTTCTGTATCTTAGATTTAAAATATGCTTTTATACTCAAGCTATCAGCTTTAGCTATCTTTTGAGGACTGTCAGTGGAAGATGAGGAAATCAATGTACTTATTTGTCCATTTTCCTCTGTTCCATTGTAACATTTTGTGAATTATATTATTTTTACTTTCTGTGCAACCATACAGCCTCAAATATAAAATTTAGTCTTAAGGTTAATCAAATAAATGTTTTCCAGCAATCCTTTCTCCCTGGTTTCTCCATTTATCTCATTGTTCAGTCAAGTTTTTCCTTTAGTAGTTTCTTTAGAAAAGAGTTGATGAAACTATTTTCTCTGAGTTCTCACATGTTGAAATGTGTCTTTCTGTGATCTTTGTACTAGAAACAACAGTTTGGCTTGATGTATTATTGTTCTTAGGACACTCTTTTTATTGTGAAATATTATGCAAACAGAAATGTATATGAAACATTCTTGTGACGTGATGACTTGATGAATAATCACCCCAGGAATGAGCACCCCAGAAATTCACTTGTGTCTGTTCTCTATCACACTTCCTTCCCCGCAGAGTTTATCCATAGAAGCATTTTTATAGAAGTATATATAAATAAAATCATATAGTATTTACTCATTTACTCTTTTATCCTTTCTTTGTTTTATTCAATATTTGTAAGGCTCACATTTTTACTTGTAGCCCTACTTCACATATTTGTTGCTGTATAGTAAACATTCTATTATATGAACATACTTCAGTTTGTTTCTCTATTCACTGTTGATGGACACTTGGACTGTTTCTAATTTGGTACTGAAAGGAGCCATGATGCTGTTGACCCTCATATGTAAATATTTCGATAAGATATATATATTTGGGATTAAAAAATACTGAGTCTAAGGGTATACATATTTTATTCTTCCTAGATATGGCCAAACTGTTTTTTTGAAATGGTCTTATCACTCTAGAAATAAGCCAGAAAGAAAAAGGAAAATATCGGATGGTTTCACTTATAGAAAGAATGTAGGGGAACCAAATAAGGGATCAGGAAAAAAATTATGATAAAAAGACAAAATTAACCGGCAACTATAAATCAGAAGCACTCTGCGGGGGAGGGGGCAGAGACGGATCAAAGCAGGGGCGGGAAGAGCACAAGGGACTATGGTGATGGTGCATGGGTGAATTGGTGGGAATTCTCCAGGGACTACACCTGAGAGGAGAAAGCAAACATTGTACAAAAAGGAAGAATGATGTAAAAAATACATATAAAATGATCTTATCACTCTATATCCCCCACCAGCAGTGTCCGAGAGTTCCCTAGGTCACTCTTCCTTGATAAGTAGTGTTGCTTCACTGTCTTTTAACCCAGGTATTCCTTTGGGGTAGGGGACATTCCCATTTTGAAGATAAGAAAACAGATTCAAAGTGTTCAAGCAATTTAGTGCATGTTTACAGTGGTATGGGATGTGAGAACTGTCGTTTGATGTCTGCTCTCTCTCTCTAAAGTCTGTTATCTTTCTACACTGTCCTCCAGAAAATCAGATATGTTAGGCCTGGAAACTTCACCAGGGAAGACGAATGTTTTCAAAGACTTTCTTGAAAACATTGGTTGCTGTTCTTCAGGTTGGATATAGTTGTTCTTGGTGAGAACCTGTTTCTCAGGGTCCCTTCCAATGTTGTAATGCAGGTAGTGCTCACCCATCATATTTAGTTTCCTGACAACTTACTTCATTTTTTCCTTGTTTTTAGCATCCAACCTGTGTATGGAGCACAGCACCCTCCTCTGGATCCTCGGCTCACCAAAAAGTAAGTTGAGTTATTTTTCTTTTCATGCATGTGCTTCTTCCATCACCCCTAAACCCTGTCTAACTTTGTTGAAATGACAGTTTCCATTTTTGACCTTTTCTAACTTGTTCTTTGCTCTATTTTGGATCAGAAGATGAACAGACTTATTCCATTACCAAGTGGAAGTTCACTACTTCCTATATTGGAAGCTGCATTTATGTAGGGTTTGGTGTTGGATTCTATATTCTGGACAAAAGATCTCTGTTGATTAAATATTGTCCTGAAATTGAATGATTAATGACTTTCTAGTAAGAGATATAGTTTCTGGGCTTATTGTACCTGAATATATATAGGTCTGCCACCTTCTCTTCCCTTATACTCTGAGAACTATGGCAAATAAATTGTAACTACAGGCCTAGCATTCTTCAGGTCTTCCTTCTCTTTGACACACTCAGAATCACACAGTAGAGTCAAGAGCTCCCTGTAGACTGTTTCTCTAGTAAAAGTCTAATAAATTATTTTCAAACACGTAGAAACCCTAGTTAAAATTAAGAAGTGTGTGTATGTGTGTATATCCATACCCCCAATTATTGCTCTGTCTCACCTTTCTCTTCTGGGCCATCACTCAGCCACTATGAATTTAAATGAGGAGGTGGCTACCTTCTCAGATGTTTAAGAACTTTGGCCTCTATCTTTTGGACATGCTTAACTGATGATTTATTTCGAGAAAGTTGTAGTTTGTAGTGAAAACTGAATGATTTGAGAAGTGCAGGAGACCAGGGTTCTCATTTTCCTGGGGCCTGTGTAATACCCACCCTTTCTTCCTTTGCAGTCAATGGGGAAGTAAAGATAACAGTGTTAACGTATTTTGAATACCTGGAAACATGTTCTCTTAAATATGCATTATCAGTATTTTAATATTTTTAAAACAATAACTAAATGTGTGGAAAACCTCTGTAATTCTGCCAAGTTGTTCTTTTTTTTTTTGTTTTTAAGACTTATTTATGCAAGGCCAGAGGAGTGGAGGGTGGGAGGACCCACCAGAGACAGAGTGGGGAACAGAACAGGCAGATTGACTAAAGTACATTGCTGAGGGGAGCAGCGGGCAAGTCAGGAGAGGTCTGCTGTGCCATGTGGGTAGCTCCCTGGCCGGGGATCAAACTCGTGCTGCAGTGGCTGCAGATAGCTTGATAGACTACATTGTTTTAACCCCTTGCACCACCAGGGAGGCCCCAGATGCATGATTTTTATACCAGAAACCACTAGGGTGTTAGCTCTATGAGGGCAGGACCTTTGTTTTGGTTGCCACTATGCCCTTAGTTCTTAGCATGGTAGGTGGCACATAGTAGCACTGATTTATGTGATGGAGGCATGGAAGCAATATAATTTCTTAGACAGTGGGCTTTTCTTTCATGTTGGTTAGTTTAGACTTGTATTAACTCTACTGATGGGGAGAGCAAGGTTTTGTTTTGTTTTTGGAATATTTGTGTGATGTTACCATTAAATAGAATGAATTCTGTTTCCTGGTTTTACCATTAATAGACTATCTGGTCTGTTGGGCAGTGTGGCAAGCACCTTTACCTACCCAGCAGCCATCCCTGCCCCACTTCTTCCTTGCTCAAGGAACAAAATTTTATTTAGCTCTTGAACAAGAGACAATGTACCTTTAGAGCATGTATCAGGATTAGTTTAAGCCTTTTATTATAATTCTTTAGTAATCCCAGTGACTGGTCTTTGGAGGATCTTCTCATTCGTTCTGGCTAATGAGATGTGAAAGAAAGTCTCCTGAGAGAGAGTTCTGGAGAGGTTTTCTTTTTTGATCAGAGAGAAATCATGGTGTGAAGAAATCCTCTTTTGCCTCCACTTTTATATTTCCTTCTTTTGAATGTAGTGGTGTGAAAATGAAATGCTAAAAGCTGTAGCAGCTAATTTGTAAGCTGAGGGAAAGGTCTAGAGAAATGCAGAAACACCAGCCCAATACCCTGACACCGTGGTCTTCCAGCTTAAGCATCACTGCTGAGTACTCTGTTCTTGTGGCCAATTCCACTCACAGCCAGAATTTGTTGATTGGCGGTAGATCCATTCTAGCATATCTTATAATTGCCTTTGATATGCATATGGCTATAAATCTGTCCATCCACCCACCTATAGGGCAGTGGGGTATGCTACCTCATTTTATGTTTGGGTCAGAGTCACCATAGCTTGTCTGCTCCTGTTATCAAGAGAGTTTGCCCTGATTCTATATTTAGGGTCGGTCTTAAGTAGTATCACCATCTCCCAGCGGCCCACACATACATCATACTCATATACTCTGTTTTCTCCCTTAATAATGATGAAAAACCACAAACATTTTCACTGATTATTTAGCAGAGTGCAGTCATACTTTGAAAAGAAGCAATCACTTAGTGCTGCTGTTTGGGAGGAATGTAAGTATCATTAATAAATTGCTTCCCTTTTTCATGCACATGGAGGTATTAATACCCTACAACATGAACAGCATCTAGGTCTGCATTGGGCCATTTTACAATTCCAGATTGTTACTATAAAACATTTATGGCCCACATTTTAGTACCTTTGTTTGGACATTTTTATTACTTTCCACACTGCGTGATTATCTTTCCACTTCAGACCACCATTAATTACTGTGTGGTTAATCCTCATCACAGCAGAAGCCTTTACATTGGGCCTTCAATCATCTAAACTGCATAAGCCCAGTAAGTCGCTCCCTGTCCACGTATATTGACTTCAATATGCCAAATTATTATCATTAGTGATATTATTGCCTGTAATAATTTTTATAGCACAGATAAAATTGGCCTTACTGCAGAGCGGCTCCATTGACCACTTGGTGATATGACAAGCTTCTAAATTTATTGTTTTCTGAATTGATGCTGAAGTGTGATAGATTCTAGTTCAGAGTTATGAAAGTGCAGGAGAAGCTTCACTAGTTGTTGAGGTGACTGGATTTAATGTTACTAAATGTTATTTTAATGTTATTAAATGTTATTTTAATGTTACTAAAGCCCCCCACATGCTTCACTTCTCTTCAGAGTCAAGCTTTGTTTTTCTAAATTAATTTGTGTCATATTTCTATTAAGTGAGCAGCTATCTTAGTTAAATAGTGTAGTATTAATAAAATTGGAGTGGCTGATCTTTTGCTTCCTAGTACCAGTACAACCTGTAGCCCCTCTTTTCCAAAATATCCTGAGGTGTTTGTGTTTCCATTTAACAAGTTACCATTCACCACATAACTATGTTTCTCTCAAATAGGCCATTTACTATGTTTTTGAGTTTTTAGTATCAGTTGCACTTCTTGAGTCCTGTTTTCTTCCCCACTCTTTTTAGCTCCACCATCTTGAGCAAATTACTTAACCTCTCTGAGCCTGAGATTTCTCATTTGTAAGACTCACCTCACAGAGTTGTCCTGAGGAGTAAATGAGGTATCTGTGAAAGTGCTTTTTATTTTTTTTTTTATAGAGGCATGTTTATTTATTTATTTGTTTGTTTGTTTGTTTGTTTTGTTTATACATGCACTGGGTACAGTCAGAAGCGTGGGAGGGTGAGAGAATTCACCAGAGCCAGAGCGGGGAACAGAACAGGCAGAAGGACCGAAGTACACTGCTGAGGGGAGCAGCGGGCGGCAGGAGAGGTCTGTGCGCCATGTGGGACCCTCCTCCGGTGGCCGGGGAGCAGCTGGGGATCGAACCGGTGCCGCAGAGGCTGCGCACAGCTTTGCAACCCAGCGCTCAACCCGCTGCGCCACCGGGGAGGCCCTGAAAGTGCTTTTTAAACTGTAATTTGGCATACAGTTATAAGGAGGCGTGGTGACGGTGTCTATCAGAGGCCAGTTTGATTGTAACTTTGATATAGTTCTGTTGAAATAATCATGGTTAAACTCCAAACCACAGAGTGACATTCTTGTACCTTGGGTTAGGTATAAATTAGTTGGGACCATGTTAAAATGAGGCTGCCTGTTAACCAAAGGCACCCCCAGCTCGAATTAGTTGGATCGATTTTTTATTGTGACTTTTAGGCCACAAGGAAAGAGAGGCATTTCTCCTAGGACCATATCTCCACATGTGGCTTCTTCCCAAACTGACCATCAACATATGTAGACTATTCCATGTGCATGGGAAATTATTCTTTCAAGGTGAGAGCATTGGGGATATCAGCCATGCTCAGTTTGCTTGGCAGCTCCTCTTCCCAGGCTACAGATGCTACTAGGCCTAAGCTCTCTTCTTTTTAACCAGTTTTTCTAGGTAGAGTTGTTAGAGAGTACATGCAGGCTCTATGGGCAGACCTGGATTTGAGTCCTGTGTTTGCTGCCTGTTCATGACTTCAGTAAACCTCAGTTTCCTCATCTGTACACGGGAATAATAATGATAATAATAATGCCTCATAGAATTGTGAATGAACATTAATAAGAAAACAGGCATATATAAAAAAAAAAGCACAGAGCCTGCCACCTAGTGAGTAGCCACTAAACGTAAACTATTATGTTTGCATGAATTTATAGGTCTCCTCTGGAGAGAACAAAATTAAAAACATAGAAAAGCTTCAGAGTGTTAAATCTTCCCATCATTGCCTCTGGTTTATAGATTTCCTGCTTTTTCTCAGTGGCAACCCGGGAACCTTTTCACTCTCATCCTCCTGTTTCATTTTTTTTCTTTAATCCAAAACGTGTTCTTGGAGTGTGTTCCCATTCATCTTGCTCAGGGTGCTTTTAGTGCTGCTTCTGTCTGAAAGAGCACCCTTCTGTAGGCCTTGCTTTTCCTCCTGTAGGCTTGCAGGGGACAGTGGAGCAGCCAATACGCAACACCACCATTTACGCTAAAGACAGGGTGATTTTATAGCTTCCTGGGTACTTGACATCCATGAAGTAGGAATTGGGGGTCTGCATCACCCACTTCTTGTGTTTCATTTTCTGAAGAGAGGAGGAGGCGATCCTTTGTGAGAGGCATGTTCTTGTGGGGAGGTCATCACCGTGGAAAGCTTCTCGTTCTTTTTTTTTTTTTTTAATATTTATTTATTTATACATAGAACTGGGGTGTAGGTCAGAGGTGCAGGGGGTGAGAGGACTCACCAGAGACAGAGTGGGGAACAGAACAGACAGATCTACTGAAATACACTGCTGAGGAGAGCAGCAGGCAAGACAGGAGAGGTCTGCTGCACCATGTGTGTAGCTCCCTGGCCAGGGATCAAACTCAGGCCACAGGGGTGATAGATTTGAGAATTAACCCCTAGGCCACCAGGGAGGTTCTTCTCTTTCTTTTTCTTTTTTTAAAAGATTTGTTTATTTATGCATACAAGAACTGGGATACAGGCCAGAAGTGTAGGGAGGGGTGGGGTGGGGTGAGAGGATTTACCAGAGACAGAGTAGGGAGCAAAACAGGCAGACTGACTGAAATACACTGCCAGAGGAGCAGTGGGAGAGGCAGGAGAGGTCTGCTGCGCCATGTGGGCAGCTCCCTGACCAGCAGAGGATCGATCTCCTGCAGCAGCTGCAGACAGCTTCATAGAGCTATGCTTAGCGCCTTGAGCCACCAAGGAGGCCCTTCTAATTCATTCATTTTTTTTTTAAGATTTATTTATTTATGCATACAAGAACTAGGGTACAAGCCAGAGTTGCAGGGAGGTGAGAGAATTCACCAGAGACAGAACAGAGAGCAGATCGGGTGAAATACACGGCTGAGGGGAGCAGTGGGCGAGTCAGGAGAGGTCTGCTGTGCCATGTGGGTTGCTCCCTGGCATGCCTGCTGGGATTGAACTCGTGCTGCAGTGGCTGCAGTCTACTTCATAGGTTGCATCTTAACTCCTTGTGCCACCAGGGAGGCCCCCATTCATTCTTGTGAGTGATTCTCATCAGCCTTCTGGCCTCAGACTCCCACCCCTCTAGGTGATACTAGCCATTTGCTCCTTGAAGGCCTCTTTCCTCAGACAGAGCTGACTTTTCTTAATTGGTTAGTTGAGTTTTGGACTTTGTGGAGCAGAAATCCCTAAAACATCATAAGGATATTTAGGAAATATCAACCAGAAAAAAAATCAGTTGCTAACCTTGGGATCCAAAGTATTCAATTTCTCTCTGTAGGATTCATTACATGCAATCTGGGAGAATACACAGCCTCCAAGAAGGAAAGCAGTGACGAGCAACCACGTACTCCTGAGCAGTATTTTCTAGATGACAGAGCTTATTTAAGCCCTCTGAGGTGATGCATTTTGGGTGCATCCCAGGTCCCCTCATACAGAGAAGTGGTGATGATGGGGTCCAGGACAAGCAGCCTCAGCAGGGCTGCAGAAATGCAGTTTGCCTTCCGGGCCATAGTTGGATTTTGGACATGCAGATATTTACATGTGGCAATGGGCTCAGTTTTGTTGTCCATAATTTAAGCTCTTGTTTATTTCCAATTTTCCATTCAGTGGGTTTGTAAATACTCTTACTTTGGGAATTGATGAAAGTCAAACAACCCTTTTTTACTGATTAATAAAAAATAATACGCTCATTGTCGAAAACATCAATAATTCAGAGAATTGTAAATATGAAATTAAGTATCACCTATATTCTGTGGGCTAGAGATAAGTAAACACTGTTAATATTTTGATATATTTTCTTCTTGGTCTTTGCATGTACTTTTTTTTAATACAAAAATCATGAAAAACATATAATCTTGGTTCTAATTTTCATGTTATTGAGCTCATTTTCTAGTATTATTAAGTAGACCTTCAAGAAGGGGTTTTAAGGACAGTGTAGCATTCCATCTGGTGGTTGAACCATATTTTATTTCATCCTTTACAATTTCTAGATGTTTATGTTGTTTGCAGTTTTTAGCCAAAAATATACAAGTTATAAACTGTTAGGTCATCTTTGTCTTGACTCTGTGATTATTTTCTCATGGTTAGAGATCATGAACTATTTTGCGGTTCATGGTGAGTATGTTGCTAGGTTGTTTTCCAGAGGCTTGTTCACCACCAGGCTGTTTCTCTGCCCCCTGGCCATCACAGAAGAGAACAGGTTTTTTGTTTGTTTGTTTGTTTGTTTTGGTGGGACCCTCGCCCGTGATCGAGGAATGAACTGGCGCGCTGCAGAGGCTGCGGGCAGCCTCGCAGCCCAGCACTCAACCGCTGCACCACCAAGGGAGGTCCCCTTTTTTTTTGTAAATTTTTTTTTATTATAATAATCATGGGTGACTTTTTATTAAGTGAGTTGTAACACTGCTTTAGAGGATTCACATCTCCTCATATGTATGTCACTTCACCTGACCCTACCGCCAGAGCACCCACAGTCCTTCACCCTGGGCCATTACACCCCCTGCCTACTTTGCTCCCACCCTCTCACTGCCTCCACCTCTAGCAGTCTCAGTTCCACAGTCAGATCTCTTAGGGCTTGTTTTATTTTGGTTTTATCACTCCCATTTTCTTTTTTTTTTTTTTTTAATTCTGAGTTTTAGGCACGTCTTTCTCCTTCTGACTTGAGAATAAGCCTTTTAAATCTTTGCTAATTTAGTGGGTGAAAGTGGTATCTTGCTTCCAGCACATTGAGCTGTTACACAATTGTAGTTTTGTGTTCTCTCTTGTGTCATATATTTTCCTTTACTCTGCATGAGACTAGTGTTTGAAAATAATGCCCCAGTGATAACTTGCTCTTTTATTGGTGTTACCAATAGAGATATTCTGACGAGGGACATTCTGGTGAGTTACCAGAATATATTTATCAATGTTAATAACAACTGTCTTTCAGAACAAGTAATGTATACATGCAGGGAGATGGGACAGATTAGTAGAGCACCCACTACCATCCAAAAAGAAGAAATGTCTTTTGGAAGGGGGTGAACATGTTGCCCTGCCTTGCTGGAGGCAAATGAGGCATTTAATGATGTTTTTACCCCATCGTATTCTAGTGCTAGGGATAAGCTTACACAGGACTGAAAGGTTTGGGGTATGAGGGATGCTGCGTATGACTGAGTTAATATTGTCTCCAGAACCAGAACAAGGGCCCCCAGGCCTTAAGGTGGAGACATATAGAGAAAAAGTTAGGGAAGTAGGAATGGTCTGTGCTACTCTGAGGACTATACTTTCCTTTCTCGGTGAGTTGATCTGCTGCTTCCCAAACTTGAGTCATGTACCATCTTCACATTTTTTTTTTTTGCCATTTTCTATGATATTATTTACTAAATATGTGGTTTTAAAAATAAACTCATTTATTTACTCAAATAGATTTGGTTTTTTTAAGGAAACCATATCCCTTCTGAAAATGGAAAGCCATTTGCCAGCATCATTTGCCATAAATAGAAAGTAACCTTAAAAATAAATGCAGTGAAAAATAAAACAACCTTACTGAATTATAAACCAGATCCTGTTGCTTGCAAATATGTTGGTGTGAGGCTGCCCTCACCTTGTTAAAAAGTAACCTTAAAGACAGAGTAGCACTGAACTGAGACTGTCTCCTTAAGGCTAGCAAAACGACTTCACCAGAATAAAAAGGAACAAGTCGTTCATTTTGGAACTCAGTGTTTGATACTACATATGTGAACTACCTAGAATTATTTCTTCTCTACCAGTAGTTTATGTCCTGCTCGGTGGAATAGTTTAAGTTGTATTCCCATAACAGATTAACTGAAACCTCAGTGGATTAACCCAACAAAGGTTTATTTCTTGTTCCTGCTACATGTCCAAAGTGGAGTCAGACGGGAGGGGAGGGCAGACTCTGCTCCACATAGTCACTCTGTTACCCAGGCTGAGGGAGGTGCCACCTGGAACCTCAGCAATTACCATGATAGAAGAATGCTTGTAAAATGTTCACACTTGCTCTTTTATTCTTCAGCTTGGAAGTGATTACCTCTCTACTTTCCTTCGTCCATGGCCAGAGTGGTCATATGGCCTTGCCTAAGTGCAAGAGGGCTGGGAAGTACAGGGGAACACGAGGGATGTTTGCTGAGCATTGCTGTCTTTTTACATCTGTCTCTTCAACATAGGGCTCATCTAGATGGGAAATGGACATGGGTGTTTTTGTTTAGGAAAGTAATGATTGTGCATAAGGTAGTTTGTGACCCTGTTAACATTACATTAAGCAAGTGGAGGTGGTGAGATGTGTCAGATTATTCCTTGGTAATGGTGTCTCCTTTCTTAAAGCTTCATTAAAGAACGGTCAAAGGTCAACGCAGTTCCTCTGAAGAGTAAGAAGGCCTCCAGTTTTCATGAGTTTGCCCGGAATACCAGTGATGCTTGGGACATTGGTGATGATGAGGAAGAGGACTTTTCCTCACCTTCTTTCCAAACTCTGAACTCAAAAGTTGCTTTGGCCACCGCAGCCCAAGTCCTAGAAAACCACAGCAAGCTGAGAGTGAAACCAGAACGGTCCCAGTCCACAACATCTGACATTCCAGCCAGCTACAAGGTCATAAAGTCCAGCAGTGATGCCCAGCTGTCCAGAAATTCCAGTAAGTCCATTCTGCTCCCCTGTGTAGCCTCAGCCTTTTCAGCAGAGTGCTTTTTAAATAAAAACAATTTTTCTTTAGGGCATCCCTCAGATCTTCCATTGGATGAAAAATAAGCAAGTTCAAGCCCAAGGTATGACATCAGCAAGCTAACTGGTCATAGCTGTGCTTGCTGCTCCCACCTTGATGGATACTTGGCTCTGTGACCTGGGGCTTCACTTTCTGACACCCAAGTGTTGCCTACTATTCTCTTTTTGCTCCCATGGTAGAACATGGTGGAATCTGTGGTTTGATTGCTCCACGTTGCTTTAGGCTTGATTTGATTTAAGAATATCAAGTACTGTATTTAAAGTTGTTAGTGGCTGAGTTTCACAAATGTTTGGCACTGTTGTTTGGCCTCCTCAACCCTGGGAAATAGACAATAACATAAGGTTGTCTTTTCTCTATTCTGAGGAACACTGCCATGTGTGCCTGGGGGACCTGTGTCACAGTGCTCTGCCTATCAGGCTTGGTGGGGCAAAATGAGATGTCCCCTCTGTTTCTTTTCAGCCAACTGGGCTTCAGTAACTGGTTGAGATGATGTTGGTCTTATCAGGTGTTTGGGGCTCTCAGAGTACTCTTTTAAGCATCCATTGCTGTATTTAATGTTGCCCTCAAGAGTTTTATGGAAACCAGTTATTCTAAGCTGGAGAGGGAAGTGCCTTCATTCTAGTGAAAGTCATAACAGCTGACTGGTAAAAGGTGAACATGAAGAAGATTCATCCTGCAGCATGTCCTGCCTCACACTCTAAGAGAACTTTTTTAGCAGTTTCAGACTAAGCTGTGTCATGAAATTAGACTGTACAGCCTTTAAAATCATTCCACACTTGCCACTGCTGATTTGGGCCCCAGCATTGACTGACCAGGTGGCCACAGCTAACGGGGATAGAAAGCATCTCCACAATGTAACTGAGGGTACAGGTGGGGGGGTAGATGATTCCCTCCCACCATCCCTCTTGAGCTGCCCTTGAACGCCAGAGGAGACCCTTTAGGAGGTTTATGAGGTTCCCCTCCTGTGATTATCTCTCTGTTAATAACTGAGAACAGAGGTGCACATTGTAAACCCACTTGTGCTGATTGGTTAGTATTAACCATTTAGTTCTTGTTCTGACTACCACTTTTTGGGTTTAGATAGGCCATTATGATAGGACAGTCAGAATTTAAAGTGAATTTTGTTTGGAATTACAAATTAACTAAGGGTTTCGAAGTTAGATAGACCTAAGGTGGCGTCTTAGCTTTTGCTTGCAAACTATTTAACTTCTCTGAGCTGCAGTCTCCTCTATCATATATTGTAAGAATCAAGTGAGAGATCGTATGTAAATGTGACCAGCAATTGTGCCTTATACATGTAAGCACTCAGTAAATGTTATCCGATACGGTTTATTTCTCCTACCCACTGTCTGCTTTAGAAATGTCTAGAACCGCACATAGGGTTAAGTTTGAATCCATGTTCTGGTTATCTGTGACCTAGCAGAATTAAAAGCTTCTTCGTTTTGGTGGGCAATGAGGAGCGCAGAGGAATTGCAGCCACCCAGAGTGATCCAGGACTTCTTACCAGGTTTGCAGGGCACGCATTGGGCCAGGAACAGGCATGGGTGGAGCCAGAGATGTTGATCCCCTCAGGCCTTGAGGCAGCAGGGAAGGCCTTGGCCTTGAGGAAAGCAGCCACCTCCTTTTCTTGCAGAGTGCTTTATAGAGTCATCATCTCCTTCATGCTCCTTGACATGGGAAGGAAGGCAGACACAGCCCAAACTCAGTACGAGGCATCAAGGAGAGGTCCAAGTTGGGGTAGAAAGCAAACATTTGACTTTCCTCTGATATCAACAAAAAAGTTCTGAGAGTTGCTGTAGCATCTGGAGTCTCTGTATGCCTTGGCATGTTTGGTAAAGACCTGGCCCTTCTGGGCAGATGCGGGGAGCACAGCTGGGGTGCACTGTGCTCTGGCCCTGGCCGCCCCTCAGCTGGGCACCCTCAGGCAGCACACGGAGCATGCAGCCAACGCTCAGGCGGAGGAGACCAACCTTCAACACTCAGGTATTAGGTTCTCAGAACCTGTGCTGCTCATAGAATCTGCTCTTTCTTTTTCAAATTATCGTAGGTGATACCTGTCTGAGGAACCCGCTTCACAAACAGCAGTCGCTCCCTCTCCGACCCATCATCCCCCTTGTTGCCCGGATCTCTGACCAGAATGCTTCTGGGGCACCCCCAATGACTGTCCGGGAGAAAACTCGCCTAGAAAAATTCCGTCAGCTTCTCTCCAGCCACAACACTGACTTAGGTGAGTACCTGTGAGCCCTGGGCAAGGTGAGACTTCTTGGTGACCGGAATTCTCAGAGACCTGAAAGCTGTTGCTCTTTATTCTTCCTTCTTTTACTTTTCCAGCATCTCCTGATCTGGTGTCCATTGCAGTGACCGCAGGTATTAAGTCAGAGTATGTTACTAGAAATTAGGGACCAAATTAGGTGGGACTGGACTCTGTGGCCTATAGACCATAGCGCAATTCTTCTGGCTTTGGTCTGCCCAACCTCAAGGCAATTCTTACTGAAATCCACACTCACTGGTCTTTCTCTAACGCTGATCTCTGAGCTGACAGGATCACTACTGCAGAGCCGTGTCCTTGGCACTGTGCTGCTCAGGGCTGTTGTTTGGGGCTTCCCTCCCCCTGTGCTTGTCAGTGGCAGGTGGTGGTGGTGGTGATGGTGGAGGATGGTGATGGTGGCAGTGGCCCGCGTACTTGAATGGTGGGAGGCCCCAGGCAGTGCTGGTTGAGGTTTTTTAGGGCATTTGTGGGAAGAGCTAATCCAACAAAGCTGTTATGTGTTTTCAGATGAACTGAGGAAGTGTAGCTGGCCAGGGGTTCCCAGGGAGGTTCGACCTGTAACCTGGAGACTCCTGTCGGTGAGTTCTACCCACTATGTAGAGAAGCGTGAGCCTCACACAGTCCTTCTTTCCTGATGAGGTTAGTCTGGGCACATTAGTCTTACTCTATAGATTTTTCCAGACCCACTGACTGCCAGATCTGTGGGACTGCAGTCCTCTTTCGTGTGCATAAAGGAACACCTTCTTGAGAATTTATTCCCACACATGTAGATGAGCACAGGCTTATTCCGGTGGTCACGATCTTACTTTCCCAACACTAAAGAGGAAAAGTATAGTGAGAGGCAGGGTGATCCTGGCACTCGTTTGGGCAAGTGCCTACATTCCCTGTGCTTCACTCCTTTTTCATGAGGAATAATCAAATGGTCAAAACTCACTTTACAACTGTGAAGAGTTGGTCTATGGGCCTCCTTTGGAAGCCTGCACTAGTCCTGCTTTCTGAGGACTGAGTGCAGAGCACTGTGTCAGCCACTGCAATAGGAACACTTGGATTTCCTGAGCATGTAAAATTCATTCATTCATCTGGTTAGGATTTATGAGGGCCCGCTGTTCACCGGGCTCAGTGCCAGGTGCTGAGAGGGTAACAACTATGAATAAAGCACAGTCCCTGCTCTCCAGGCACTCTCTCTGGAATGTTACATAAATGTCTGTGAGAGGAAGGGTCTCTCTTGACTGCTCCTGACCTCCAGTCTTGCAGCCACATAATCTACTGCCTCTGCCACTACTAGTAAGTTTGAATGCTAGTAACAGTAGATATGGTGGGAATGAAAGGGGAGTAGGAGATGTAAGACTTGAGAGTGGGATCTAGACCACACTAAGAATGAAAGTTGGCCTGGAACTCTGGCTAAGAAGGGGGCTGCTGCCAGTTCCGTATCCGGTTCTGCAGCTGCTGTGTCACAAATCCATTCAGCTTTCTAAGCTGGTAATTCTGACTGTTACTGTGGAGAAGAACGAATCCAGCACACATATCCATGGTGTCCCTCTGTGACATGCCTTGGAGGTAGCCGTCTCCCTCTGAGTCTCAGAAGTGTTGCCTTGCACACACGCAGCCCTCAGAGGCCCTGACTTGGGTCCAGTTCCCTTCCACTGACCCACATTCACTGCACTACCATGCCAACTCTGGGAGCTCTGGACTGCGCGTACCAGCAGTGCAGCTCCAAGTGCAGCCCGGGGTCACAGCAGTACACAGCTCTGGGAAAGCTGGCCTCGCTTCATCTGCCCACATGTGGATCTGATTGAGTGAGGAGAAGGCAAACACTGGGTGGCCAGAACCAAAGAGGGATTTACCATTGTCCTCTTGGCAGTGTCCCTTCTGTTCCTTTGATCGTTTCCAAGCCACTACTCAGACTAAAATAAAAATTAAGGGTTCATCCAACTAGTTCCTGTCCCAATCTGACTAGTAGTCCTGTCTGTAGGGCTATCTCCCCGCAAACACTGAGAGGAGGAAGCTGACCCTGCAACGGAAGCGAGAGGAGTATTTTGGCTTCATTGAGCAGTATTATGACTCTCGGAATGAGGAACATCACCAGGATACCTACAGACAGGTATAGTCATCACCTACTGCTGTTTTCCTCACGGGTCACAATCTTCAGGTGTATTTCCTAGAAGTGCTATAGGGTTATCAGTTTTCCAACTCTTGAGGTTATGGTGTGCTTGTTAGAAATTAAAATTTATTTCCTGTACTACTTCCCCTCTTTCTACTTCAGCAGCTCTGATTTTAAATAGATTTTTTTTTTTTTTTTTTGGCCCAGATCAGGGGCAGTGCTTCTTAAACTTTAATGTGCATATAAATCACCTAGGATCTTAATAAAATGCCAGCTAGGGGATGATAAAATACAGACTCTGATTCATTAGACCTGGGGTGAGACCTTCACTTCTAGGCAATGCCAGCACTGCTGTCCGCAGACCAGACTGGGGGGTGTTACGGGCGATGGGACACATGATGAGAGATGAGCTCACTCAGGAGTGACTATCCAGTTGCTCTGGATTGTGTCCTCCTGCAGTGCAGTGGCTGTTTAGCATCCATGTCTGTCTTCATGTCTGCGGGAGCTGTAGCCATCAGCAGCCTTGGCAGGGAGTGCGCCTCCATTGCACATAGTGGTCCTGCAGCCTGGAGAGGGGTGGGAAGGAAGGAGACTGTGGGCAGGCAGCTATCTACCACAAACCCCAAGAACTGAAATGGCCTCTGCCTCTGCTAACGCAACACTCAGGATTGTTAGAATGCGGTTGGGAAGTCCTGAGGCCAAAACCAACCAGAGTGACCTCTTGGGTAACAGAAGTCAGAACTTGCACACCCGTTCTTAAGACCAACTCCCCCGGGTTCCTTCCCCATTTCTTACATGCCAAGACCTCACCAGCGGTCCTTCTCTAGTTCCCTCTCCTGGCATGTTTGCGCAGCTGTCAGAGCTCTCCTAGTTCTTGGGAACTGTTGACGAGTAAGGCAAAAGAGGGTACATATTTCGATCATACCTTTTAAATAAATACTAGCCCAGTGTAAAATAGACTCCAGAGCAATAGGGAAAAAAACAATCGATTCTCTTAGAATGTGAAGCCTATTGCTCTTGGATGTAGGTAGTTTATCCAAGGAGATTTCCTCACTGTTCAATAAGCTATCGCGATCATGGAACAGTGAGGGAGGACAGGTAGGTGAACTAGACTCTTTGTTGGTGTGTCAGTCAGCTCTTCCCAAAGCTAAACTGTGTTCTCACTCTTACTGCCTTGATTCTTAGTACTTAAGAAAATAATTTCAAAAGAACAGACTGGCATTTGAGTTTTTGGACATGGCTTCTCTTTTTCAGATTCACATTGACATTCCAAGGACGAATCCTCTCATTCCATTGTTCCAGCAGCCACTTGTACAGGAGGTGAGGGAAGTACTAAACGTTCTTGGCCGTTCACCCGTCATCCCTCGGCGGCACCCGGTCTGCGTGGATGAGTGCTCTCGTCCTCCCAACCGAGGGCAGGTTTACTGCTAATCTTGACAGCACCTGGTGTCCATCTGCAGAACTTTGGTCCTTTCAGAGAACTTTTTTTGTGCGTTCTCATCTGATCTTCATAACAAAGCTGTGGCCCAAATAATGCTTCAAGAGTTAAGGGACTTTGCCAGAGTCTTGAGGCTCCTGGTGATAGAACTCACATCTTAGAATTCCTAGTCTTGTGTTTGCTCTATTTAACTACTCGCTGGGAATAGTGATTTTTGGTTTTTTGTCGTAATAAATATACATAACTAAAAATTTACCATTTTAGCCATTTAGTTGAGTGGCATTAAGTACATTCACATTGTTGTATGACCATCACCACCTTCCGTCTCTAACACTTCTGTTCATCTTCCCCAAACTGAAACTCTGTCCCCACTAAATAACTCTCCCCAGCAACTACCATTCAGCTTTCTGTCTTTATGAATTTGACTATTCCAAATAAGTGAGATCATATGATATTTGTCCTTTCGTGAATGATTCGTTTCACCTAATATGACATCTTCAAGATTTATCCATGTTGTAGCATGTGTCAGAATTTGCTTCCTTTTTAAGACAGAATAAACTTCCATTTTTGTATAGAATATGTCTTGTTGACCCATTCATTCATCTATTGATGAAAACTTGGGTTCCTTCTCTCTTTGAGGTAGTATGAATAATTCTGCGGTGAACATGGGTGTGCAAATAGTTGTTTGAGTCCCTGTTTTAAATTATTTAGGGTATATTTTCAGATGTCAAATTATTAGTGATATTTTGAGGCCTAATAAGTTAGTGAGCACCTGCAAGGTTAGTTTTGACTCAAGCAGAAGCTAACTATAGACTCCTTGAAATTAGGGATTTCCTTTTGCAACTTCACAGCAGCTGGGACATGGGTGTAAGGCTCTTTGAATTGTGCTTTCAGTTATCCTTATAACTGAGAGGAAGAGTGATAAAAATGCCCAGAATAGTTTCGATTTGACTTTAGATTGTTTCCATAATTCTGTTTAAATACAACTGTCTCTACTCATGATTTTCCGATAGCAGAAAGATTTTGAGAGTAACTCCCTTTTTTTACCTGTAAGATTCAGGTCAAAGGAAGCTAAAACCCAGTCAAGATCCCTTTGTGTCGACCATTGCCTCCCATTGCTCAACCTTCCTCATTCCTTATTCTAGGAATTCTGAACATTTGGAGTTGTTTAGATACATGTCATTTACTTGTGCACATTTGTTCCTAACTTGGAGATGGGGAAAGTAGTTTGTTTAAAAGGCTTCTCTGAGGAGCTGGATCTGAATACAAAGAGGGAAACTCAGACCTATAGTCTTCCAATTTTTCTTGAAGCACCATTTTGTCTAGCAGACTGTAGTCACCTTAAACAGAATAAAATGCCAACCAAGGAGCAGAGAACGAGGCATTTACTGAATAGTAAATGACTTGCTTTGCAAATTTGGGATAGAATTGGCTATAGTAAGTCAAAATTACCCACACTAGTAGAAGAGGTATAGGAAATTCCTTCAAAGGACTATGCTAGCTACTCCTTTCTACAAGGCAAGAGTATCCCAGACTTTTCTGCAGTGAAGGTTCCATGGTCTCCCCTGCTAGTCAGGATTGGTGCTCCTCTGTTTCCACCTTTTTGGCATCTCTGCTTATTGGTGCATATGCATCTGCATTGTCCCATCCTTACTAGAGGGATTATACCAGGTCTCCTGATTCCAAGCACCTAGCTTCCATGCACATCCCTTATGAAACCCAGTCACCAAACATTTGTGTTTTCATAAGGGGTTGATAAGTATGTAGGAGAAACTCTAGTAAGTCCTTCAGGACTGACTGGAGGAGCTTTTAACAGAGATGTCTGGACAGACACAGGCCCACAGGACGTATGCGGAAACAGAGTGAGGGCAGGGAATCCTTGAGATCTTGGTGGGTGATGGGTCTATCTTGAGCTATGATTTCAGGAGGAAGGGATTATGTATCAACAAAGAAGAATATAAGAGGGCCCCCCTTTGTGTGTTGAGCCTAATGAAGGCGCCACACACTCCTCATGGCCCCAGAGAGCAAGCGGGCAAGTTTAGGGAGACAGAGAGGCCAGCTTACTTCCAGGCTGGACTTTGCTCTCACTGCCTGTAGGAGCAGGAGTGTTGACAGTAGAAGTGTTTCTCAGCTCCCTCTGCCATCTGGAACACAGAGTCAGCCAGCTGGAAAACATCCTTTATTGCATGTCTAGTTCCCTACTTCTCACCAGCTAACCAACTGCAAACCCATACAACAATTTCCCTCATGTTGTTCTCCCTGGGAAGACTTTTTTCCTTGCACCTGGCCCTTGAGAGGGCCTCTTCGCTTTGCCCCAAAGCCCATGTGCTATGGAGGCCTCTAATCTTCCTCACACTCTCATTCACAGTAGTCACTGTCATCTCTGCCATCCTCCACCTCCTCCTTTTTTTTTTTTTTTTTCTGACACTAAGAAAATGCTTTAATGGTGGTTTCTGCATAGATGTGATGTTGAGGCAAAAAGAATTAAAGGCACACAGGGAGACAGAATGACCAAGACAGGTTATGAGTGCGTAAAGATATCACACAGCTGCCACACTGCACCAGTACCAGCAGCTCTACGCCACCTCCTCCTCAGCTTCCTGCTCAGACTTGCCCTTCTCCTTGGCTGTAGCATCCTGGTACTGCTGACACTCAGACACCAGGTCACTCATGTTGCTCTTGGCTCCATCTGGTCCATGCCGTTACCTGTGTACTGGTGCACAGGACATCTTCAGTCCCCGGGGTCAGATGTCACAGATAGCTGTTTTCACAGCTGTTGTAGGGGATCCGCTTGACAATATATCTGCTATTTTCTTTTTAAAGATTTATTTATTTATTTATACAAGAACCGGGGTACAGGCCAGATGCGTGGGAGGGTGAGAGGATTCACCAGAGACAGAGCAGGGAACAGAACAGGTAGACTGATGAAATACACTGCTGAGGGGAGGAGTGGGCACAACAGGAGAGGTCTGCTGCGCCATGTGGGACCCTCACCAACCGACCGGGATCAAACTGGCACTGCAGAGGCTGCAGTCAGCTTCACAGTGCAGCGCTCAGCCACCTGCGCCACCAGGGGAGGCCCAATATCTGCTATTCTTGTTAAGCTTCTGCTCATCTACCTCCTTTATGGACATGCAGCCCCTGGTTCACGGAGAGTTGAGGCAGCTCAGTCAAGGGCAGTGTAAAGAATGTGTTGGGGCCAGGAATTGAGGTCACCAGGATGAAGCCAGGAAATGAGTATTATTAGAGAAAATGGGGCAGGGGGTGGGTGGGGCACAGAGGGCCAAATCAAAGCAGACAGGAGTGTGGTTGAATGGGACAGGGCTAGACTCTGTAGCAGAGCCATAAAGATCTTTCCTTTCTTCCCTTTCTAGGCCTCTGACCTCTTGTGACTGACATTCCTAACCCAGAGACCTTCCCACAGAGGCCCTGGCTGACTTCTCTGTTATCAGATCCCCAGCTGTAGGAGTCTGTAGGATTTGGTTTATTTATCTTTCTATCCCCAGCAAATGTCGAGATTACATCCTGATATATGAAGTGACTTCCTGCATTTGTACTCTGTCAGTAGTTCGTCGTCAGGCTGAGTTAGAACTAAATCGAGATCTCCTTCCGTCTCAGCAGGGAAAAAGGGAGAGGATGGTGGAGAAAATATTTCCTTTCTAAATCCTGTAGTGCCAAAAAAGATTTAGAAAAAAAGATATCAGAACATGTCTGGGGCCTCCCTGGTGGCACAGCAGTTGAGCACTGGGTTGCGAAGCTGCCCGCAGCCTCTGCAGTGCCGGTTAGATCCCCGGCTACCGGCAAGGGTCCCACATGGTGCGCAGACCTCTCCTGCCACCCGCTGCTCCCCTCAGCAGTGTATTTTGTCAGTCTGCCTGTTCTGCTCCCCGCTCTGGCTCTGGTGAATCCTCTCCCCCTCCCGCGCTTCTGACTGTACCCAGTGCTTATATAAATAAATAAATAAATCTTTAAAAAAAAAAAAAAAGAACATGTCTGATATTTTGCTCAGTAGAGAAACTGTATCTACAAGTGAGAGTGTGAATTAATGACATCCACAGCAACCTTTTTCTAAGCCATTTGTGTCACCTTTCCTTTTCTCAATTTTATATCACAGTGACTAGGTACTGAAAAGATAAATAAAGTGTGAGAGTACCTATCCCTGCTTGAAAACAACAAATGTATTTTTGCATTTACAATATAGGCTTCATTTTCCCCTGTATTGGAAAATGTTTCAAAAAATTCTGCAGCCCTGAGATAAATGGTGAGGTAGGTAAATGGAGGGATGGAATGTAGCCCTGTGATTTAACAGTCATGTCTTTTTTTCTCATTTTCCTAGATCTTTGAAAGAATTCTATTTATTTGGGCCATCCGACACCCTGCCAGTGGGTATGTCCAGGGAATTAATGACCTGGTCACTCCGTTCTTTGTCGTCTTCCTCTCAGAATATGTGGGTAAGAAGCAAGCATGAGTACCCGTTGAACAAACTATTGCTCTTTCTTATCTGCAGTCTGTTTGTTTTTCTCAAGCATGTAGCCAGTAGGCATGTCTTGCTAAAAAAGAGATACGGCTTTAAAATTCACAGCTAAGCTGTTTGCAGGGGTAGCAGTCTGGAATGTATCTCTTGAGATGATCACAGATCTCACCTAAAAAGACCTGCTCCATCACAAGACCAAAGTGACAAATTTATGTCCTGCAGTGAACAGGAGGCTTACTGGTTTAGTTGAGATTACTTTAGGATTATTTTGAGTTCATCTCTCACACAGCCCCCCAGCCTGCCATTTTACGAAAGCTGGCATCTTAGCCTGTGCTTAGGCCTTCCCACTTGAGTTCACATTCTGTATCATAGGAGCAGGATGTGGCTATGTAGAGGAGGAAAGGTTGTGTTACCAGAATCCCGCTCACACTGAAGGTAATGGGATGGTCCACGAACCCTAGGATCTGGATTCCCGCCCAGCCCCAACCCCTCATCTCTTATCTCACTGGGTTCTTGTCACTTTGAATGAAGTGATTAGATTTTACTGTGTCAAGTTTTCTACGACCCCCTCCTCCTCCGGCCAACCTAAATTTAAGCCAGGAGTCTTAAAAGAAGTTGAAGATCCTGCCTTTCGTTTGGTTTCCTTTATTATTTGTGCTCAGAAACTCAAGAAAAACCCCTCTGTCATGGCCTGAAGCTTTGTTCACTTAGTTAAGGGGAGGCTCAGAAGCAGAACATTGAAAAGGTCTTAGAAAACCATCCATCTAATCCTCACCCCTCACAGATGGGGTGTGTGATTTCCTGCCTCCTCAGGAGTGGCAGAGCGAGACTAGAACATTTCCGTACATTCCAGGACTGGTGGATTTTTGTGCTTTTTTGTAAAAAGTCATTGCAGGGGCGTAGGAGGGTAATTAGTGGTAGACTAATGGGGACTCTTAGAGTGACTGGTGACCTAAGAAATGTTTCACTGGATCATTTCCATTCAGGTTTTCTGCTAGGACTCAAAGGGATGTCTTTTGGTCATTCATGAAGCAGTATCAAAATGTCAAAGCAACTGAATGATACCTGTTCCCCCGAAGTGACAGTAACCAAGGCAGAACTGGGAGTTAGGGGGTACGACCACTCTTGTCCTCTCTATCAGATGGTCCTAAGCAAAAACAAAACTAGTTAAAATTTAGCTACTAAAAGGATATGAATAAGCTTTTACTAGAGGACATTTCGTTTTCCTCTCACATTAATAGGTCAATTTTTGGAAACAGCTTAATTTTGTGTGTGTTTAGCTTTATTAAAGGCATCTGAGCTATTGGGATTTGGGGGTTGCTTCTTGTGATAGTATTTTTCTGAAGTAGTATTAAAGGAAGAGCCTAGGAATGTACATTTGAAGTCCAAATGTAGTCATGAAATCTTGTTAACAATATTATGCCAGTTAAAAATAATCCTCATGAGTTGCAGTTGATTGGATATTTAATTACCTTGTTAGCTGCCATTTATATCTTATGCTAAATTTTCCTTTACTTTCTGTCTCTGTGGTTTTGCCTTTTCTGGACATTTCATGTAAATGGAATCATACAATATGAGGTCTTTTTATGCATGGCATCTCTCACTTAGCATGTCTTCAAGGCTTGCTCATGTTGTCACCTGTGTCAGGGCTTCCTTTGTGTGGTCAAATATTTCATTGTGTGGGTATACAAGTTTTACTTATCTATTCAACAGTAAATGAATATAAATTAAGTTGTAATGAAATAATGAGTTCAGACTTCCTCAGCCTCAGGCCTTTCTTGAACATAGATACAATATTTTTTACAATCTTCAAGAATGATTGTCTTGTCTGAACAATAACGCTGCTTTTCTCCCCTTCTCTAATGGTGGCTTATCCTACTGAGGCAGCTGCTAGGTGGTTGTTATGACCTCTCTGATAGTCCTCCCTGCTTCAGGAGGCCTCAGGTGTCCTTCACTGTGGAACAGGTTAAGCAATTGTCCCTTTCATCCTAGGCAGCCTCACAGGCTGCCTTACCCAGTGCTCCATCTCACTGAACCATAGCAGAGAGGATTTGCCTTGACAACACTGTGGGGTCCGGACTTTGTTTGGCCTTTCAATTCTCCTCTCCTATCTGTTCTCAAGCACTGCGTCACTTTTATAAATCAGCGCCTAAGCTTGCTTCCTACTTTGTGTCATGTCTGTTGTAGAAAGGTTGAAAACACTGACTTTCCTTTGCGCTAACAGAAGTTGTCTATAGCGAGTTGACGACCAAGCAGTTTCTTTATCTGCTGAAGCCAGCTGCTTGTATAGAAGTGAATCCTCTGTGGATAAGCTAGCTGTGTAAGGTCCAGGGAAGACAGTACTAGAGGGCCACCCCTGGGGAGATGCAGTCTCTGAACGGTGACCCCTGATACTGCAGAATACCTTTAGACTCCCTTTTCTAAGACCTTTGGCTTAGAAGATATTACTGACCTAGCTCTGAACATATTATGGCCCAATAGAGCTGGTAGTGTTGTCATCATCAAAGTAGACTCAACAGCAACTATTTAAGTGATGCATATGAAGAAACCATGTGACAGGCAGGGATCATGAAACATCCTTTTTTCAAAAGAAGAGTTGTGCCTGGTGACTTCTTTCAGTTCAAAATGAAACACTAAGTATCAAATAATATTCTCTCTCTGCATGAAGCAGCACAGTAAAATTTTTATTTCAGGTTTTGTTTAGAAGTCTAAGGACAATGGAAGCCACAGGAGGGAAGTCTTTCCCAGACCTCTGACTTATGTGTCCACCTCCCTGTGTGACATTTCTAGTTGGATGTGCCATAGGGAATCAGTTAGAATAAGCTTGGCTGCATGTGATGGGGAACCCTAAGTAATAGTACCTTGCAAAATGGAAAAGCTTCCTTCTCTAACATTAAAAGTCAGGAGGTGAGAGTCCTGCACTGTTCCAGGGTATTTAGGACTCCAGGCTCCTGCCTTTTGTTATTCTGCCATCCTCAGCTTAATGTTTCCCCCTCATGATCCACGATAGGTGTTGCATTCTAGCCATCACATCCATATCCCGGCCAATATGGAGGAGGAAAGAAAGACACACTCCTTCCATCTGAGGACATTGTGCAAGTACATAATGCTTGGGTTTGAATCTCTTTTGTCCGAACTTAGTCTTATGTCTATTACCTATCTGCAAGTAAGGCTGGAAAACACATGGGAATCCCAGGTGACCGGTACCCTTGGGGTTCTGTCACCAAGGAGGAAGGGGGAGTGGTTATTTGTGGACAACTGATCATCTTTGTCACCCCAAGGCTCCTCAGATTCAGTGATGGACTCCTCCCCACACCAGCTACCCTTTTCTCTTAGTTGGCAGCATTTCTTGTCACTAAAGTTGGAAATGCTAGGAATTGTACATGTTTCTTTTTTCACATTCTTCTATATCCAATCGATTATAAAACTCTGATCTTATATCCTAAATGTTTCTTGAGTCTGCTTCCCTCTCTGTTCTTCTACAACTGTCCGAGGTCAGGCTTGCATTGCTGGAATGGCCAACTGTGTTTTCCCAGCTCTGATTTTATCCCTGTCAAATTCATCTTCCACACCATTCAGACACAGACTTGCCAGTGCAGCTCCTTGGCTTAAAACCTGTTAGTAGCACTTCCCATCACCTAAAGATTAGAGTGGCCAGGTTCTCTAGCTTGTTGTGCATGGTCCTGTGTGATCTGCTCCCTGCCTCACCCCCTAAACTCAGTAACCCAAAATTGACACTTTTAATCTAAAGTCTTGTCCTGCAAAATGTCTTTATCCCGTGGGCTAATCTGTGTGCATCCCTTGAGACTCCCCCTCTTCCTGTAAACCTTAGGGTACCCTCTGCCTCCACCACCCCAATAGTGCTCTCTCCATAGCTCTGTAGATTTCCTGTGTATCACTTCACCACATCAATTATTATGTTTCCCTCCTGCCATCTGCCACCAGACTCTGAATCCTTGACACCAGAGACTATATTAAATATATTTATATTCCCAGTGCCTTCATTTTGGTGTCCAGTGAGGAATTCCACAAAGAGGAATGTCTAGATGAGTGAAAAAATGAAAATTTCATGGTAACTTTGCAAGATGATAGTCGGGAAAATTAGTACAGCTTTGCTGGGCTTGGCCACTGGAGGGCAGTAGATGACAGCATTCTGGTACTGTGCTGAGCTCAGCAGTTCTGTCTCCACTGAGGGATGCAGATGGAGGACTACCAGTCATTCAAGCATTTATTGAGCACCACACACCACACCAGGCACTGCTCTAGGCCTTGCAGATATAACCATAAGCAAAGTAGACAAATATCTTTGCTGCCTACTACTAGGTATTAGAAAATTGAAGCTTATGGCTCCTAAAAGACTTGCATAAGAATATTCATAATAACCACTCATATAGACAAAAACCAGAAACAACCCAAATATCCAGTAACAGGAGAATGGATATTCATACACTAGAGTAGTACTTGAAAATAAAGAAGCCAGTACGACTAATAAATGCAATCACATGGAAGAAACCCTCTTTAAAAAAACCATTATTTGAACAAAATAAGCCAGATGCCAAAAAGTACACATTGTATGAGTCCATTTAAGTAGAGTTCAAACATACTCTGTGGTGAGAGAAATCAGAACAGTGGTTGACTCATGGGAGATTAACTGGCAAGATGCACGGTAAGTTTTTCTGGGTAATGGAACTCTTTTGTATTTGGGCTGGAGCACTTTTACACAGATGTACACATGCCCAAACTCAGAACTATGTGCTTATGTGTTGTCTACTGTATGTAAGTTAAACCAAAAAAGAAACCCCTTCCATAGTGCTTAAATTCTGCTGGGCAGAAACAGACAATAAATTGATAACTAGTAAGGTATTTGTTGGGCTGTGATTGGTCCTATGGAGTAGTAGGAAAGGACAGGGATGTGTCCTTCTGACCAGAGTGGGAATGGGGGCAGTGACCCAGAGCCATACTTGAGCGTTATCCTGA